GATTTGAGCTGAAATACCATGGGCGCATAATCTTCACATTTTTTTCATTAAAGAATTGCCACAATAAAATTCAAACCTTGTGCTACTTTGTAGCTAAGAACTCTTACACAGTTTTTAACCTGAAACAAAATAAATTCATTTAAAAAATTAACAATAAGTTAATAAACTTTGTAAAGTAGCATTTTACTACCATTGTTAGTATTGTAAAGGATTTTTAGATACAATCAGTCACCGAGAGCAAAATTTTCAATTTTCACATTTAACATAAAATAACCTACTGATGTACTTGGCACATTGGCATTCGCATTATATTTCTTATCAAGATATGTCTTTGGTTTTGCCTTTTGTGTTGATTTGTGTATTTATATTTGGTATATACAAAATAGTTTACCATCATCCATAAGAGACTAAAACAATTTTTGGTATTACTCTTAATTGCATCTTAAAATACCAACAAATGACATTGAGCAAAGGATTATTATCTTTTATTGCCACAACAAGGCATAAAAATTAAAAATATCCGTCATGAGTTACTTCATTTTTTAATTCACTATAGTATGGACACAATCCACTTTACCTGATACTTTACATAATATAATACTACAAATAAAAATTCAACATGTAGTGGTGGCGTAAGAGAATGTGACTATTGAAAAATATCCCCATATCATCCCATAGGTTTGGCAATAGTTGGATACTATACAGGCAGTGGGTAGCAGGATTTCTGTTAACAATAAAAAAAATATAAAAAATGCAGTTACCAACCTGCTAGCCAAGCGTGGCAACAATCGTAAATACCCTGTAAGCAATATATAGGAGGGTCCTGTGTACAGCAGGGGACTATGATAGGCTGTAATGATGATGATGATGAATATAATTATGACCAAAGATATTTAGCAACTTTTAATATATAACTCCTCTATTGATATTATTTGTTCAATATTTTTTTATTATAATATTATGTTTTTATGACGTTTTTTTTTTAGTTATATTTATTTATATATTCCATGCAGATGGAAGTACTAAAGTGCAACTGTTTCTCACCTTCACTTTTTTATTTCTCCCAACGTAACATGCTCATCATTTAATTTAGGTATCAGTTTTGTTCCTCTAATAGTATTGTAGTCCATTTTGTACACATCAACTATGTCCTTTTAGAAATTTTGAAATTTCTTCACCAAATTAAATATTTTTTGTCAGAAAATTGTTTCTTATGGCATTTATCAGATGAGGAGGGTCAAAAGTGATATTTAACCTATGTCCACCAATATCTAAATAAAATTTATAGGTATTCATGTAGTTATAATCAATTTCAGTTTTTCAAAAACTGAGAAGGTTCCACAAGAAATGTGAAGAATTGGTTATTAACAGTTCTCAGGTACAACACAACTGCAATAGTTGTGTCATACCTGAAGACTTAGGCAACCAAGAATAATGACTGTATGTTTCTGTTTTATGTTTGTTAAGTTTATTTACCATTACAGCCCATCAAAAGTTCACCGTTGAACATAGGCAGGGTGATAATATGGGGTTTGGATTATCTTATGCTGTCGCTTCACAGCATTGCTAGATTTGTAGGTATCAGAATACCAGCCTGAAACAGGAAAACTGGACAGTTTTAATAATTTTAGAAGGTTCCTAGTTTATAAATAAATAAATTTATGGAATAAAGAAAATATAAGAATTAATCTGGAAGAGGGGATATAGACTGTATTATAAATTTCCAGTCCAATCCAGTGAGAAAACAGAGGAATATGTTTGTATGTACTAAACACCTTCTGAATATCTTATTAAATACTAGACGTTGTCATCTTTTTTATTAATATTTTTACTTCTATTTCATTTAATTTAAATGAAAAAAGTAATCAACAAGTTATATGTACCTGTTCTATCTCCTGAAAGTATTTGCTCTTTTCTTGAAAGCTTTTTAAGGCTGCTTGGAATGCCATTTCCCTGGTCACAGCATAGAGCTACAGAAAGAAGACCTATGCTTCCTACAACTTCGACAATTCGGAGTATTATTTTCCATCGCATACGCATTTCTGCCAATCCATCTTTCATCGAACTCAGTATCCAAAGAATTTCTTACTCAACGGGAGAAAGGCGGTGGTGCGCAATCGTACTGAAACCACATGCGACAAAAGAGGTCTAGATTTATTTCGGCAAGTTCATCGCTTAGTTCTTCTTGTAAAAAGCGTTCTTAGTTTTCACCGCTTTCGTCACCTATGACTCCAGTCTATACATGAAAGTGGCTTGGTTTACAAGAATGCAGATTTATCGTTGAACATACATGTTAATTATGAGCGTTAATTACACCTGTTCTAACAACAGAGGATTCATTCATGAAAACTATGCGGTTCAAAAACAGGATCTCCTTCAATTGTATCGAGTAACCATCTACGGTAATCCATTCTCAGCTCATTGTCATTGGGAAGAAGATACTGAACTCGACAATAATGATACTGTATGCTGGCCATCATCTTTGTGGGCTCTCCACGCGCGCGTATGGTTCACACCTAGTTCAGAAGCAAATAACATTTTTAGAATTATTAAATTTAGTAAGTTATCTGATTAGAAACTCTAAAACCCCAATTTAAAGCAACCAAATTTTCAAAAAAAAAAACATATTTTCACTATCATGATTGCCATGCCTATGTGTACATACACCTATATGTTCCTGAAACCACCTATAGGTTTTTTGATACATACTGTATATGTATGTGTATGTATATACGTAATTCATTATCTTTATTTTATATTGTGTATATTCTTAAAATAATAATAATTATTATTAGAGAACACAATAAATCTGCTTCTCTTTGAACTATCAGGTATTGGGCTTGCTGGAAGATCTAAGCAGTGCCTTTGTACAGAATATTGTTTTTTATTTTTTATTTGCTAAAACTTAGCATTACTTTGTATATAATACTACTGTATATATAATATAAATTATTAAATAAATAAATGAGATGAGATCTGAAAATATAATGATAAAATATAATGTAAAAATTAAATGTATGTCATGATTGACTAGTCTTTCAAATATTTTCTGCCATACTGACTTTTTACACTATGAGGTCAGTCAGTCAAAACATACAAATTATAATATACATAACCAGATAAATTAATGTACATGCCAGGGGTTGGATAGTACATCCTGTACTTGATTTTAATAATGTTTTTGGTTTAGTAGGCTTTTTAGGGTTAAGCTTGAACATATTACACTGTTTTTGAATGTCGGAATTTCGTTTGAATTAATAACTATTAAAATAAATTTCACTAAAACTTGCTCAGAACAAAATTCAAATAATATGTCAATTTGTTTTTTAACATGACAGAAATCATATACAACATATTGAGTGGCAGTAGAGAGCAGTCAGGAGGTTTTTCAGAAAATAAAAACACACATTATATTGTTTCATTTACCACTATCATAGCAGAGTTTAGGGCAACCCGACTTTATAGATAAAAATGGTCATATACCTATGTTCCAAAACTGAATCAGCACGCCCTGACTCCACAAACACACTAGTGTTTGTGTAAAGCCTTAGGTGTGGAGGGAGATGAGCCCCCGTCCGCCGTAGTTAATTGCAGGCGCCCATGCAAGCCATAGCGGCTGAGGCTGGTCGCGGAAGGTGACCACTAAGCCAAAGCTGTGGAGGTTAGCATGGGTGCCTACAATTTGCTACGCAAGGACAAAGAGGCTGCACTTCCGCAGAGCCAAAGCTATTGCAAAAGTATCTTTGGGTTAATATTCTTGTGTATGAAGTGAGGTTATGACTTCTTCTAATTTTAATAAATATATTTGTAATTTAAATGTTATGTTAATAAGTTTTGTTAAACATATATTTAGTATATTTTTTTTATTTGACCTTTTAAAATATTCAGATAAAAATATCATTAAAATGTAATTGTGATATAATATTATATTAAATAAGCAAATATAATATACAAAATAAGTGACAAAATTTAAATATTGTTCTCGATATAATTTACCTATTTAAACATTACAATCTACTATTACCTACGGGTAATTCTACCTATGTTTATTCTATGACAAAAAAACAACCGCGCGAACACAGAGTAGCGCACATTTTTTGTTTGAGATAGCTGTTCTAGTACGTAAGTACATATTACTTCAATGTATTATTGCCTGATATCCGACATAATATGGCAGCGGCACGTCAGTACAATATAGCATAGAGATATATACCCATGGAGACGGCATATTCTACTATAGAAATAATAGTTATACAAATATATATAATATTGACACACACTTGTCAAAAACAGTTTTGTTTCTTTTTAACAAAGCAGTAGCTGCATTAGTAAAAAAGAGACAACAACAGTTTGTGAAGTGCTTATTTTGGCAGCACTTTCGTGTGACGTCTTTAGCTCATCCGTGCGTGACTGCGTCGCCATTTTAAGTGCTAAGTTATGTGCATAAACTGTTACGCGGTAAAAGTTTTTCTGTTGTTTTCTTGAAAAATACGGCTAGAAATTAGGTATTGTGGTGCTCCAGGCTTTGCCGTAAATAAGTAATCATGCCCACGTGTTGCATAAAACAGTGTGGAGCAAGAAAAAACAAAAATCAGCCTGAATTGACCATTCACAGGTTAGTAACCAATTTTCTTTGATTTTTCGTGGATGTTATATGATTTATTGTTATAAGATGATCTTTTGAAACATTGAAACATTACTGAGACCTGTGTCGGTTTTGTGTGGCTTTTAGCGTTGATATTTTCTTTATTATTATTTGTCAAGTAAGGTTAGTAAACACAGTGAAGTACGCATGCGATCAGCGATGTTGAAATTTCGATAATATTTTATACAATTCTTTTGGTGTATTATATTATGTTATTATATATATGTTGCAATGGTATTTTATTCGACTTTTATTCGGTTTCCAGTAAATGAAATTTTAAAGAAAAAATGGCTAAGTATCTGTTATTGGAATTGAAAATATAAACCCCCGACATAAAATGTGGTATGTCTGCTCAATGCACTTCGAAGAGTCATGCTTCAACAGAACTCTCGATGTGACAAGGTTACATGACAATGTAGTGCCCTCATCTTCTCTTATAGTAGGTTATATTTTATTATGTTATTAGATAACCTAAAATCTATTTGATTGTAAGTCTTAATTTTTTTCAGCCTTCAGTATGCCTCTATTAGATTTGTTACTTAGATTATTAAAAACCTTTTCAATTATTTTAGATTTCCAATAAAACAAGCGGAGCTGTTTTGCGTGAAAAACAAAATAAACCAGAGTCAACCTGTTCAATGGAGTTGAAGTTGCCTGATGATAATTTAATCGAAAATGTACCTGTAAAGGTAAACTATGTTTGGTTTGATCTCAAAGAATGCATATGTTTATGTTCAATAAGTTAAATTTCTAGGAATCCACATTGACATGTATTTAAATTAGAAAAAGGCATTAAAAGCACTAGAATCTACTATCAGTTCAGCATGCTATGCCTTATGAAGTTTACGAGACGAAGTTATGTTAAAGCTGCTTAAATTGGTTTATTTTGCTCTAGCAGAATCAAAACTTCATTGTAGCTTACAATTCTGGGGTAACACTTATAAATATAATATTAAGACAGCGTTTGTATTACAAAAAAGAGTGATCTGCTCCAAGTTACATATCCCACAAATTGAATTGTTTAAAGAACATTTTCAAAAACTTGGCATACTTAAGGTTCCCCCTCTGTATATTCTAGTTTCACTTACATATTTAGTAAAAAAAAGCTTAGTATTTAGTTAAACAAACAAAGAAAGGAAAAAGAGAGAAATGACACATCAAAATGATTTAAAAAATTGCAATCACACCAACATTGAATGTTGTAAGCCACAGCACAAGATATCAATCCAATGCACTATTTAATTCTGTGCCTCCCTCTTAAAATTATTTATTGCCACCACAAAGGAGACAATCAATTTTTCTATGGAGAATGGGCCCACTACAAATTTTAAAGATTATCAATGAAATGCGTGTCGATTTATTCCTTATAATCCATAGATTACAATAATATTATTAGTTTTACTGCATATGAACGGAGTCCTGAGAAATTAACAAATAAAATGTGAATCTAACAAGAACCTAATAACAAATTAAAAGATTTTCTAGTAGTATTCATCGGTATTATAAGTTAAAATAGTACACACTTGAATAATAGTACATATAAAACTAAGCTGTAGGTATATTCAGCATTTATAAATATTCACTAGTTCCGGCAAAACATAGTGCCTGTCTATGCACAAATGCCGTATTTCTATTTTTAACATGTATTGATTGTGAGTGTAATTCTAAATACCAAGATGGCTATTACCAACACACAGTACGAAATGTTCTAAACTGGTTGTATTACAAAAAACAAAATATAATGTAGGTAACTCTGTTTATTATAGTAAATCATAAATTATGTTACGAGCTTGAGGTTCGTGACAATAAAAATTGCCGATAAAATTACCTAAATTAACACTTTAATTTTCTTTACACAAATTTAAACTTAAAACACTAATAATTAATCACACTGATTCACTTTATTCCGCTCCGAAGCTTCGCTTGTCTCGCCAAATTCAATACTTCCCCGATCGCATCTTGCAGCGCCCTTATATAGGGCTCTTCCACGAAAACATCCAGAATATTCCAGAATATTCGAGTAAATACGTGCGCCAACCGACCAAGCGCAGAAAGTTCGAGTGTGGGGCTTCCAGAAAGCTTAGTTCTTCAATTCGATACTAGATGGCGCTGGCGGTTGAAAGATTAGTGATGTCATTTTCTGGAAAGCTCTCTCTCCTCGCTCTGTTACCCGACACTAGATGGCGCTAGTGCCAGATGTCAACTTAGCCGCGCAACACTGCCCCCTCCTAAGACATGCTCGTCCCGAGCATTATCGGCCCCATAATAACGCGCCAGGCGATCCACATGGACGATCTTAGGAGTGCCTCATGCGCCTTTCTGTATCCGGTAGGTTACATCGTTGATCCTGGTCACAATCCGGTACGGGCCGTCCCATTTAGCTTGAAGCTTAGGAGATTTCCCTTTGCTGCGGACTGGATTGTGCAACCACACTAGTGAACCTTCGTCGAACCCTTTGTTGTTCATTTTGCGGTCGTACCGGGTTTTCATCTTTTCAGACATTTGCTGGCCCGATTGTCTGACGTGCTCATAAATGTCATTCATTTTGTTCCGCAAGTCATTTGCATAATCGGTTATACTGCGTGGAGCATCAGGTGGTATCCCGGTGATCAGGTCCGCAGGCAGCCGTAATTCTCTTCCAAAGTTTGCGAAAGCTGGTGTCACTGATGTACTTTCGTGAACAGCGCTTCGATATGACAACAAAAACGGTTGTATGTGCTTGTCCCAATCTCGTTGCCGATTGTCTACAACTTTTGCTAGGTACCTCTCCATTGTCTGATTAAATCGTTCTACCATTCCATCAGATTGCGGGTGATAAGAAGTTGTTCTTGTTTTATGAGTACCCATAACTCGGCAAGTTTCCTGGAATATTTGAGACTTAAAATTCCTTCCTTGATCGCTGTGAATCTCTAAAGGTACTCCAAAACGACAGAAGACTTCATGAACTAGTTTATCTGCAACTGTTGAAGCTTCTTGATTTGGAATGGCGAAGATGGCATCCTCACGGATACCACTTCCTCACCCTCTTGCCTAGTACAATGTTTGCAATCTTCAGGACTAGGTCTTCTTGACAGTGCGTCTGCGTTGCCATGAGATTTCCCGCTGCGATGTCTGATAGTAAACTCGTATCCCGGCTGCTGCTGGGCGGTGATGTTAGCCGCACTTCCCTTCTGAGATCGTTTACCTTCCCTTTCTAGGGTTCGCTTAGGGCAGCTGGATCGAAGATGGCCCCTTTCCCCACAGCCATAGCACCTAGGGCTGTATCCTTTATTGTGGTCGCGAACCGTAACTGCTGCAACCTCCCTAGCGTGAGGGGAGCGATGATCCTGCTGCCGCCAGGTGGTGCCGTTAGCTGCACTACCCTCTCGAGATCGTTCAACTTGGCTTTCTAGGGTTCGCTTAGGGCAGCTGGATCGAAGATGGCCCCTTTCCCCACAGCCATAGCACCTAGGGCTGTACCCTCTGTTGCGGTCGCGAACTGTAGCTGCTGCAACCTCCCTGACGCGATGGGAACGATGATCCTGCCACACGGCTTCCACCTCCAGTTCATGGTCCAAGGCGTCCTTAAGCGTCTCGTGGTGCCCGAGCCTCACAGCAGCTCTGACTTCCAGGTCGCGGATGCCGTCGATGAATGTCTGCACCAGGTTACCTTCAATGAGCGCAGGTACAGACCGGTATGCTTTTCGCACCAGCTTCTCCACTTCTAGAGCCCACTGCTGCAGGTTTTCGTTTATGCGCTGCACGCGATCTTTAAGCTGCGCACGAAAGACGTGTTCCAGGTGAGCGTCGCCATATCTCGCCTCCAATGCCTCAAGGAGTTGCTCATAAGTCACTTCCTCCCCGAGAGCTTCCAGAACTGTTAAGGCATGGTCGCGCAGGCCTAGTGTGAGAGCAGTCATGGCCTGACTTTTATTCCAGCCGTTCGCCTTCATAACAGCCTCGAACTGGATTTTGTAGGCTGACCAGGAAGAAGTCCCGTCGAACGGTGGCACTTTGAACCCACGTAGCGAAGGTGTAGTAGCTACTACGGGAGCTGTAGTACCATCACCCAGTTTGAGGTCGTCCAGCGTTTTCTTCACGTCAGCCACCACGTAATCAACCCCATTGTTCACTTGATCGATTTGGGTTTTAGCTTCCTTGATTTGGGTTTCAGCTTCCGACAGGCGGTTGTCATGTTGAGCAACCCTATACTTCACCTCCCTTATCTCTTTCCCAAAGGTAGCATGAAGATCCTTCATGAGGAGCATCTGCTCTTCCGACCGACGAGCCTGTTCCGCCTGCTGCTCTTCCAACCGACGGGCCTGTTCCTCCTGTCGGCGGGACTGTTCCTGCAGCATCACCATCAGAGCACCTAAGTCAGGTGCTGCAGATGTAGGAGCTACTGACGGGCCTGCAGCTGGCGGCTGGCCCTCCGAAGTCTGAGGCGGTTGATGTTTAAAATAAGGCAACAACCAGTCATAAAAAAATTATATATTGGTAAAAGAAAAGGTCGTGGGCGTGGTTCCGATAATTTAAAAAAAATGCCCGTCTGGCTTCACTGGCAGGGTCAGGTACTCCCCTATGTGGCCGCGAGGTGGTCGAGCAGGGCCGGGGGGGTTGGACTGTTCACGGGGAGCGCCGTGGGCAGCTGGCTGTGGCGGTGGCGGCGTCGAGGGGAGGCCTAGGCCCTCTTAAGAAGGACGACCGCCACGGTTGTAGTCGTAAAATTGCACCCTGGAAACAACGTCGTCCACATTTAGGTCCAGGTAATAAAATGCCGCCGATTACGAACCCCCGGTATATCGCAGGCTAGCAGTAGATGGGAGCACAGAGAGTAGCTGGCGGGTGTTCATAATCAGAACGGAGTTACAAGGCGGAATGGAAGGCAAGCGTCATAGCGGTGAGGCGCAAATTAAAATACACATGAATTAAAATTACGGCAAGTGTAAAATACTGTTTAAATGTACCAGGATAACTAATTTAGGCTGTGCATTGGTTGAAACATGATGGTGACTTGCGATATTTGATCGCGGTGCGAAATGTATGAGACGCCATTTTGTAACGGTACTTTTGCCAACGCACACAGCGGCTACATACATTACTTACATGCAAATAACACTAATAACGTGGAAATTAAATAGCTAAAAGCAAACAGCCTGTCATGATCAAATTACACTACCTATAAAACACTTTCACTACTTAAAACTAGGTAACGTTTCAACACTTACCCTTACGGGGTGCAAGACGATACGGAGGTCTCGGTGACGAGAATTAACGAAAAAACTATACGGCCACAGTGCCGGAATTATTATATTATTTTAAACTTTTTCCAAAATGGGATTAAAATTTGCAAACGCGTACGAGGACACAAAGCAGAGCTTGTGAACGCGGCTGCAGTGGTAGTGTGCGCCTCCCAGGGCGCTCGGGCGGAGAATGACCGGGAGCGCGACGCCGTGGAATGATACCGGCCGGGTAAAACTCTGACGCGAGAGTTGCAAAGCGCATAGAGTAACGAAGCGTCAGAGTGTTTGTTCGAAATACAATATTTTAATATTTGATTTATTATTTAATTCGTTCTTTTAGTTTACTGATTTGTTTTATTAATAGGATACCTAAGTTAATTATAGAATTATTTTTGTTAATAACTTCTATTTTATTTTTATTTAGTTTATTAAATGTTTATTTAATTTTAATAAACCGTTTAATTATA